ACAAATAATTTCTTTTTTTTTCGATTGAAAATCAAATCGATTTCGGTGATTCGAGCCGAGTGCTTTGTGGTTTTTATCGAAGAAGAAGAAGAAGAAATGAAGTCGCGATGAAAGAAATGGTTTTTGGTTTTTGGTTCGATTCTTTATTCAACTTTGTTTATCAATTTCGGCTGATGCAGCCAGAGAGCGACTGAGCGCACGCGCGCAATTGTGCCACTTGGTTGAGAGAGGTGCGTACTCAACGTAATGAGTCATTGATCTCTTGCCCATACACGAATTAATTCAATGAAATAAACACCTGTTTATTACAGTTTTTTTCTCTCTGTCTCTCTCTTCTCATCGTCTCTGTTCAATCATATCCGATTATAGAGTTTTTGCGGCGGCGCGCACCTCGAAGGGATCAACATGATCATAATCACTACGAGAAAATAACAGTTGGCGGCCAAACGATTTTTGCCGCCCAAAACGCTCGTTTACACTTTTCAACAACATGTCTCAGACATTGGGCCGATTAACGATTTTCTGCGCTTCTGGGTCTTGTTCATTGCGATAAATTTTTCTCTTCTTTGTGTTAGAAAAAAAAAGACGAACGAGGTGACACGAATCCGTGCCTGATGGCCACCAGTGAAATGAAGTAGTCACAAGTTAGAATAAGAATTGAACGATTTGACCAAATTTGTCTCGCAAACCCTCATATACACTTAGTTCTTTTCCCCGGTTTTTCTTTTTTCAAAGTCCACGAAATGATAATGCCACACAACAATATCTCTTGTTCAATAACAATTATATGCTACAATTTTTTTTTTCGTTCGTCTCTGTTCGTTCCTTCTGTTTTTTCTTGTTCTTGCGAAATGCGAACAAGTTCTAATCATCGTTATTAGGGAATTGTTTGAAATGCAATCGACATCTCTCATCGGAAACATTAAGATTTCAATCAGTCCGTCGTTTTGTGCTGCTTTTGCTTTGTTCCAAACGTTCATATTCGATCAAAGCGAATCGTAATTTAACATTTTACGACATAATGTCTCATTATTCGAGAACAACATCAGCGTCTTGATCGTTTTCTTGATGAAATTCATTACATTGAAAATACACACAAACGGCCGAATGTTGTAAACACGAGAATAGAGAGAGAGAGAGAGAGAGAGAGAGAGAGAGAGAGAGAGAGAGAGAAATGTCGTTGCTGAAAATGTAATACGCGAATAGAATACGTTTTCTCGAAAATATACGATATTGTCGATATTTGGCGAGAGAGAGCGAAAGAGCGAAAGAGCGAGACAGAGAGAGAGAGAGATATACAACAATCGATCGTCATAACGAGAATTTTAAGGTATGAACTGTAGGTATGAATTTTTGTGTTGTGCAGTGCAAAGACAATGTTTGGCTAGGCGAAGCTCATGTTTTCTCGTTGTTTTATTCGTAGAAGCTCAATTTTTCGGGAAGAATATCATTTTTGCCATAGCAACAATATTGACAACAGCAAAATATGTTTCGAATGAAAATAAAAATTGAGCAAATTCGAAAAGATTTATGATATGACACAATATTTGTTTGTAAAATGAATTAATGACTAACAGTCACCCAGTTGTATGTAACTGTATGTAGTGATACACAACTAAAACTGGCTAAGTTGATTGAAATCATGCGTTTTGTATGGAGACAATCACGTTTAGTTATTCTTTCAGTCAGTCGACTAATTTGGGACATTTTGACTAAGAGTGATTTGTGATTAAAGTTAACTGCAGTTGCTTATTTTGTTCGAGAAAATCACTTTTAGTCAGTCAAAATGTCCCAAATTAATCGACTGAATAGTCAGTCAAAAATTTTCCACACGGGAGCTGCTAACGGTCCAAATTATGGCCAAGTTTTTTTTTTATATCGGACACATTTTTAGCGCCGGTCGAAATTCTACAGCGATTTATCTCTCTTGTTGTGTTTTTTTTCTTCTCAATTTTCCGTTTCCCCTTTTCAAAATGGCATCAAACGGAATTGAAAACAAATTCCGACATTGATACAAGTCATTCTGTACATCATATCAAACTACAACAATTTTATACGAGCATTGGTAGTGTGGTAATGTATAAAAGCATTCCTTCGTTGCAACAACATTAAAAAGAAACACAAAGGCGATCGTTGCAGAAATAAATATAAAATATCTGAAATTGGGATAGAATTACGCACACCCACATCAATAGCACTTGATATTCAGCATTTGAAGCGGTTATTACACAAAGCGAATGTGTGTTTTTGTGTTGTTTGGTGATTGAAACCAAAGGTCGACTGAAATCAAAGAAAATTCAATATGAAACATGTTTTATTCTCTCTTTCCATGTTTGCACGCTAACTAGCTAACGCGCGTTCTACGTTTGGTTCTCAAAAACCATTTACCTGAATTCAAGGTGAAACAATTGTTGTACAACGCAAATCCACAACAACAAAAAACACAAGAGCGACGCAATGCGCGCGCACTGATTTACATAAAATTCAGTTTGAAAAATAAATAAATCGCATTTTTCGGGTGTTTTATTTTTGCGTTGATAAATTCGGGCATTTTAAAATTCCATCCGTGTATTGGTATCAGGCCCAAATTTGAGCAAGTGTTTTTCCATTTAGCGGCGCGTCGAAAAAAAATGAATTACTAAAAAAAAAGCGTCATCGGCAACAACTTGTTGGTCTTCGAACGAAACGAAACGAACAAAAAAAATGGGATTGCGGCTTGTGTTGTGGTTGCGATATGCAAAATGTGATATCGTCCATTGGATTCCCATAAAGTGACAAAAATATTTCAAGGTTTTCGAAATATCACAATATTGTCGATGTGTGTGTGCGTGTGAGTTGTGCTTGTGAGAACAAAATTTGCATCGTCGCACCGTACAACCATTTGAAGAGCAGCGTTTCTCTCTTTTTCGCTGTTACACACCAAAATCGCTTCTCCGTCTGAAGGTCTTTTCCGTGTGAATTTTTGACCATTAATCTTTTTGTTATTGCTTTTCATTTTCGCTCAATTTCTGGCCGCGACTCATCTTGTCTCTTCGCGTATATTTTGTTGGCTGTGTGTATGTGTTGCCGTCGTCGTCATTTTAAATGTCTTCCGTTACATTTTTGTTTTCGGTGAAGAATTCATTTTAGAATATATATATATAGTATATATATATATATTCAGTTCTCTCCATTGTATGATATGCGTATCTCGTTTTCACTACCATCATCGTTCTAGCAAATTAACATTGTTTTCGGTTTTCAGCGTCATTGCCGCCGCCGCCGCCGTCGACCAACATTTGATTCGTTCATTTTCGAATTTTAAAATTCGTTTGTTTTCAATTTCATCGTGAAATCGAATCTTCATAACCGAAACAAATGTGTAGTTTTGTTTCCCATTCCACAATGAGAGAATGGACGGGCGACGCATGGAACTTGCCAATTTTCTGATGTGAGATCATCCGCCGGTGTCGGCATGCATAACAACAAAATAACACTCACACACAAAATTCGAAACACGTCTGCGTGAACGATTGCGTGCGACACTTTAGACAAGATAAAAACATTATTATGTCCACGGCAGTATTTTTAACACATTCGCAATAGACGGAGAGAGAATTTTCGTTCGACAATTTGCCACGATCGTTTATAAACCAATTGAACATCTTCTTAAACAAAACTCAACACGGAATCGGTTTCAAAATGGCCAACAACTGATGAGCTCACTTTATTTTTGCCAATTTTCTTTGGCTTGTTTTTGCGTTTCGGAGATTTTCGAATAAATTATTCAGTCACTACAGTCTGTATATCAACCATCTAGGCTTGGGAATTTAGGCACTACATTTTTGAATCGAATAAAACCGGAACTGCGTTGAAAACCACCTTAATCTTTGCATTTTAACCACGACAGAAAAACTATTGTATCAATCACAAAAATTAACAGAACAATTTTAAACTGGTTGATCTCAATTTGAAAGAGTAGTCTCTTGAACTCAAAGTCTCAAGCTCTCAAGGATAATCAAATCATATTTGCCACCATTACTCCGTTTATAATCTTGCGTTCGTGGGATCACCTAGTCTGTGAATAATGCATTGTGTTTTGAATATCCCATGGAATATCAGGAGTGCAAATGTGGATAAAATTTTCATAAAAAAATCAAATCTCAACGTTAATGAATAATTGAACGCTCCGAAAATTGCTATTGAAACTGTGTTCAATGTGTGTTGAATACAAGTTAAACAGAAAGTTGAATGTTGAGTGAAGGCTGAGTTTTGTGTCACTTGAGAAATTGAATGTGCCTCTCGATTATTGAAAATTTCAATAAGTTTGAAAATAACTACTCAAATTGCTCCTGATTTTAGAAGAAACGCCTTCCTGATTAGTGTAGAAAATGAGGCGAAATTTAGGTTAGCACGCACGAATAACCGATTCATTTAATTATCATTTGAACAGGTCTTTCGCTGCATTCATTAAAATCGTTCATTTCATTTAAAATCCCATTGATCAAAATGAAAACTCCGGCATCAATAATCATTTAAGCACTTGGTCGATATTAATGAGTTGTATTTAAGTCCATTGCATTAAATTACCTGAAAATTAAATGCTAAATGCGTTTGAATTGCGTGAATAAAGTGTGTCCCCTGTCTTGTAAGCGCGTGATTTTGATCGACAAAAAGCGGTGTTGAAAAATAATTGTCCCTTTTCACTAAAACTAATCATAATTGTTCCTATTTTTCGCTTGTTAAAAATCGCCCTTTCCTTGCACCCTTGCACCCAAACCACACACACACACCGAACATTTCCGTCAAATGGTCGGACGAACGGTTATTATAGCTTTTTTCTATTGAAATAAAAAGTGTGGCAGTTAAAATCGCATTTTCAGCGAAATATAAGGTGCACATGCGTTAACACGCACGCATTGTTCGTTGAAGGAAATGTGACGTGAAAATGCGCTTAGTCGTTGCCAGAAATTTGTTAAAAACTGAAATGAAAAACAAAATATATCTAAGTTGATTCTTACCAATTGAACGATTCGCTGTACCAAAAACTGAAATCAAGTGCTGGACTTATTCAAATGGATTAAACTGTTTGTTTTTTTTTGTCTCAACAAAAAATTATTAACACACGATGGCAAAGCAATGACGTAGGATTTGGTTTTTTACAAGGATTCGAATCAGGTTTGTTATTCCAAATTCAAACACACATCAAATAATCTTCCTTTTCTTCTCTTTGAAATATTTCCTTTTTTGTTTATTGTTGTCCACCGAAAAAAAAAACAATTCCACTAAACTGCTATTTTTATCGCACACATGACATGAGTAACAAATTAGATAAACTTTCTGTCTTTGGTTGAAACAAAAATACAAAAAAAAAATTGGATTGTTGTTGCTGCTGCAATATATGTGACCCGCAAATGTACTTGACTTCGTCGTATCGAGAATACAATTAGTTCGTTGATGCGTGTAGAGAGTGAGACAGAGAGAGAGATTGTTTCACTTGTTGAGTATGGAAATGCGCGGTGATCAGTCGAATCCTCTATATGATGAGTCCACCAAGGGTTTGCTATATTCCGGCACACACAATCACAACGTTTTTTGCCACTTTTTCATTCGCGCAAACGCACGGCACATTTGATTTGAAACGGCGTGTTTGCGTACGGTGTAAGTTGGAGTTGATTTTGGTGTTTTGATTTTTGTCTTGCTGAAGAATTGGCTATTTGATTTAAGCTTAGCTGTTGATTGTAATTTTTTGCTTTTTGGTGATTTTTAAATATTTTTTGCTTTATGCCTTTTATGTCCACTGTTCACATTAACTTAGTTGAACATAAAACACTGAATTTATTGCATCTAAATCTGATAATTTGTTGTGATGTGTTGAAGTATTTTCGATTTCGATGTAAGCGAACGATAGCAAAGAAAAATCTCATCAAAATGGTTCTCAATCGATGTTTTCGAGCATAAAATCAGTCACTCAAAAGTCACTTGTTTTGTAATGATTACAACAATTTTTCACCGTTTTTTCTTCCTTTTTTCCAAACACAAACACCTTTTCCGATCAATTCATTGGGATTGTGTTCAATTCGCATAGCAAAACGTTTGTACTTTATCAGGTTTTTTAAAAAAAAGTGTCTGCTGCTTTGAGATTTCCACAACGAAATTTTTTTGTTGCACACAAACAATAAAACAACGAAAGCTTCCGAAATTTGCCGAACCGAATATTTTTTCCTGCAACTATTGCCGTGATTTGGTTTTATTTCGATGAAAAAAAAACTCAACAGAAAAAAAAGCGTCAACGATTTGAAATATTTTTGTTGGTTGTCGCTACGAAATGTGGCTCGCTTCCAGTGGATGATGCATAGAATGGTTGAAAGGTAATAATAATACGCTTGTCCTTAGTTGTTGGTGTTGTAACTGAATTTGACTACGATTGTAACGATCCGCTGAATGCGCGATCCGATGACAATGAGATCTCGAATAACACTGACATAAAACTTGAATGCTTTTCAGGCACGATGAACACGAGGCGAACCGAATATACACACAATATGCTTTGCAACAGAGAAAAAAAACAACAACCAACGACCAGACCAATACAACAGAAATACATAAAAAAGGTAGCAACAACAGCAACAACGACTGACGACGACGACGAATGGCTCTAAGCACCAAGCTAGAGAGAGAGCCTCTAAGCCAGTAAGAAAACCCGTGTACGGACGAACAGCGAGAGAAATAATAAAAAAAGATCAGCACACAGAAAATACTGACGAATACACACAGAGCAAGAGAGTGAGCGAGTGAGCGACAGAGAGAGAGAGAGAGAGGAATGAGAGCTAGGCAAAAGAAAACGGGCAGTAGCCGTAACTACAACAACACCTTACTTCAATCATATATTCACAACGTTTTGTTCACAATTTTCTGTGTGTTTTTTTTTTCATTCGAAAAGAGAGAAAAAAACAACACTGTGAAGAGAACTGAAAAGTGTGCGGTCGATTTGGATGTGTATAATTTCATACGCTTTTTTTTTATTATAAATACTTTAATTCCAGTGTATTTCTTACTTAACAACAACAGCCACCGCTCTCTTGATATCACATGTGTGTATGTCTTTGTGTGGTGTTTTTCGATAGACTTTTTTTTCGATGTGTGTGTGTGTATGTGAAAGAAAGAGATGGTGAATTGCGCCTTTGCCTGTGCATTTGTTTTGATCGTTTTTGTGATGAAGACGATGACCGATTTATCGGGCGATGAAAAAAACGACCAACGTTTTTTATTTGCTTCAAGAATTCGTACCGATTTTTTTTTGTCTGTTCAACACGAGCATTGTTCATCGAAATTCAGAATTTTGCACTAAAATCTTGAGTTCGCAAGGAAAAGTTTGCAATTTATGGAGTAAAGAAGATCTATCCAAAGAAGCACGAGGTCTACATGCTCAAGATCTTTTTATACATTAGAATTTCATCCGCGAGATTTACCGCAAAATAATGGAGCTGGTAAAAGAGTGAGACTCTTCGAACCCAGAAACTTAAAGTTATATTTGAGCTGCCAAATTTTGTGTGAATTTCACTCTTTCATTTTAGAATTTGAATTCACATCTTTATCCCCAAAATTCGATTTCTCGAAACGGAATTAGCGAAAATGCGGAAATTTCGGTCGGATAAATCGAATAACACAAACAATCGTTAGAAAAATATGAAAATAACCCAATCTACGATCGCATTTGATTTCCAAAAACATCACATGAATCATTCGAAAATGGTAAATTTCAAATCGAAATTCCTGCAAATCCCCAGCAAATCATTTAATAAAGCCGTTTAACAGTAGCGACCATTCATTATTTAAATAGAGTCTTTATCATGAAAATGGATCGCGACAAGCCTTAATTTCAATTCAACCAATCTGACGCGCAATATCGCTTAAAATAAAATGTGATCAATTATTATATTTATCGGAAGCTTGAATTACTCAACTCACATTTCAAAGTCAATTTTAAAAATAGGATGCGAACGTGTGTGTGTGTGTATGCCTCGTGTTCAATGCACTTCAATCATGCAAATACACAGATTTTGACGTCAATTTGAGGCAAACAGAAAGCAGCAGAAAAAAAAATTGTAGCGAATATCGTTTACAATTTCACCGTAATTGTAACACAACTATTACACAACAATCAATCCGACCGAATGCAACAAGCTGTTGCACACACAACTCGCTTCCACATTCCAGTTGGTGCTTTTAGTTCCGATCGACGTGTGCTCGATTAGCCTGCAAGCGTTGACACAAAATTAGCCGATACTTTCAACAGTTTTTCCACTCTCTTGGAAAATAGAGAGTCTCTCTCTCTTGCGAGACAACACAACACATTGTGTGTTGCTTGTTGCCGCATCGAATATGCAATCGGGTGCTCATAGCAATTTAGCACTTAATATTAAACAAATATGAATATTTGCTCGAACTACTAACTGCATTGGATTTTTAAGTCAAGCGTTTACTGGTTTTGCCGATTTGATTTCCAATAATCTTTTTTCATTCAAATTGGTTCAGTTTTCACTAACTTTTTCAGTTCAAAATAAAGATAAAAGCAGATCCTGATCCACGACAAAGATTCTCTGACGAAAATGTTGAGAAACAAAATATAAGTCCAAAACGAAAATGTCTTCAAAATCAAAAAAAAAATGCTTGAAAAATCGTTCTTCGAGTTCAAACATATGAAAGTACGCGATTGATGAAAAACCCATAGTAAATTTGATTTTAGCCAATCAAAAGTTCAAAAGCCGAATTGTTTCCTTCGCCCTATTTCGAAAAATGTCCATTTTTTTGTTAAAAAATTATAATTTGCGGAGCAAAAAAGTGTGTAGTGGGAATGCATAGAAAAAAATTCCGTTCTTCATTTTCCACTTTGTTTAGAAATATTCCGTTTTGTTAGGAGTCTTAACATAAGACTAAAATCATCGATTTGATCGTCTTCGCAACAACATTGGCCCTTGCATTAGCCCATATTCTAATCGGTGTCTATGTGCATACTTCTCTGTTTTTTTCTTCTCGTAAGCTTATAAAAATTGTAATACTCGTGATCGCCTTGGGATGCATTCACTAAATCGTTATTGTTCGCATACTTTTTACCATTATTTTCATTGATAATTTCGGTTACCGATCTCTATTACCATTCACCGATTGACGAGAAGAAAAAGTAAAATCTGCTCCGTCTGAAAAACCAAAATTCAAGTAGAAAATTGTGGTGGCATGCATATTTTGGCTGACGAAACTTTGTAGAAAAAAATCGAAATTACAACTGGGTATGAAGTTTTGTTGATATTTAAATCGCTCACGGAGAAATTTCAATATAGCTAAAAATTCGACTGGCTTGCGATGATCATTCGCCTCAGCTATACTCACCTCTGCTGTACTCGTTGCCAAGAAAATGTGATAGTTACTCAATCAAGCCAATAGAAAAACCGCGATTTTAATATAGATCATGTTATAATTTTCGGCAGTTTGTACAAATTTTGGGTTTCTGTATGGTAGCAATATACATATAACATAAGATAGAAAATCTCGGTCGCAGGAAGTTGTACCGAATTAGTAATCGACTAATCGAAAAGCAGTGATTCTTTGCATCTAACTCTGCATTTTCGCGTGCATTAATCAATTTTCGCATGACAATTCGTAATTCGGTTTCGTTGTCGAATTTCAAATTTTCCGTCAACTGAACACTGGTTTGGAAAAACGAAGTCAATTAGCCAAATGCAATGCACATAGCCAAAGTGAGTTAGTCGGGAAAATTGGGCGAAAAAATGCGAAAGTACATGATATTACATCACGATGGATGATCGTGTTTTCGTGCATTATTTTTCCCCGTTGTTGCAGATGGTTTTGAAGTGAATAATTTTTGGTTTCTTTCGATGGACACATGAATCATTCATGTTCGATGCACTTGGGAATTGGAGTTTTTCGATTGGTCGACTTTTTGATCGTTAATTTGTTGGCGATTTGATCGATTTTATTCACTTAGTTGAACCACATTTGGCTACTGAAGCTTCGTGCGGTTGTTGTTTTTTTAGCACTACATGAAATGTAGAGCTACTAATCTGCTTTTTTTTCTTAATACTTTTTGAGTGATGAAACAAATTATGGTGAATTTGAATTTTATGTTCATATTTTTTATTTAATTTAAAACAGGTGCACTAACGACAAATAAGTGCACAACATCTCAAAGCGCCCCAATCAAATTTTTATTATCAAATGTTTTTTTTAAATAACATTAATTTTTCGTATAGTATTTTTCTGAGTCTTGAACAGAATTAAAGTGATTTTAGATTCGATGCTCATATTATTTATTTAATTTAAACCAAAGGCAGTATATTTCAAAAAAGAAATAAAACCAACGTGTGCTTCTCTGCCATAAGAACCAATGTATTTGACGTGACAGTGAATAGCAGTGGCGCCTAAATAGAATCTGCGGCAACTTTAAGAACTATCATACTTCTTGTTGTTGCGAAATTCGTGACAACAACAAAAAGTATTGATAGTTCTTAAAAATGCCGCAAATTGCTAATACATCTTATTTAGGCGCCACCGCTATCTTGTGCCGGCCAAAAGCATAGGTTGAATAAAACCAAGATCTTGTGATTCATTTTGAAAATAAATATATTACTTCAAAGTTACTTTGATGAAATACATTTCATGTAGTGCGGTAAAAAAAAGTTTATTGTAAAACAACAAAATAGATTAAATAACTAAAAACTCAAGAACTTGTTTTTTTTCTCTTACTTTCAATCGTTCGATTAATAAACCGTTTGATTTATGCTTTTTTGTGAATGTTTGCCTATCAAAGCGCTTTGATCTGTTCAATTTAATCGAAAAACCGTAAGCATTGTGAATGTCCAGCACGTTTCACATTTCCAGTGTTGGCCCGAAGAAATGAAACGAACGGCCGACCGAACGAACGAACGAAAAAAAAATTGAAAGAAATTAATAAAACATTAATGCAATGGACCATTTTGGACTGAATGATGGAACGCGCCGATCTAAGTCAGAAAGTAAAAATGTAAATCCGCATTGGCATAAAAAGTATCATTTGTTGCACATCAGTGTGCAATCTGCATAATGTGCACGGGCTGGATGATTCTAAAATTCAACAGGTGAGTGTGTGTGCGTGTGTGTTTGTGTTTGTTTGGCAGATCGGTGTGTGTTTGATTGCCATTTCATTAGTAGTGTGGGTATTTTCGAATGTGTTGTTGTGTGTTCTTCTTCGGTTACCGCTGCTCTTTTTTTGTTGTTTATCATCATTATCATCGCCATCGAATGTCGTTACCGTCTTAATTCAACCGTCCTTCTCTGGCTCACTCGTCAAGATGACATCATTCGACTGAATGGGAGCGAGTGAGCGAGCGAGCCTGCATGAGTGCGCGAGCGGCGAATGAGCGTATGGTTGGTGTGTGCGCGCGCGGGGCCGTAAAGG